TTTCAGGACTTGAGAGCATCAGCACCTCTAGCAAATGAAGGCGAGTTAGCTCACTAATGCTTTGAGACGCGATGGTCTCCTTAGTGGCTCCACCCTTAAGTTTTATATTAACGCGATTTCGGGGTGGATCAAAAGCCACGCGGCATGGGAGGGAGTTTAGTGGGTATGGGTTATCTAACAAAAAAAAAACACCGAGTCTTAGACAACTGCTGTCACATTTTCCCTCCCTGCCTAAAAAAAAAAGTAGTAGTAGTAGTAGTAGTAGTAGTAGTAGCAGCACTACTACTACTACTACTACTACTACTACTACTACTGCTAGTACTACTTCTACTTAACTACGACATTAAAAAAGATGCCAATATGAAAAACGTCAATGCAAAACTTGTACCCCCGGTGGTAACCTCTCTGAGGAAATCCACTAGCAGTTCCGATCCGGTGAAAGCCCGGTTGACTGTCGCAGGCCCCACGAATTCTGGGGGGGGGGGGCACAAATACGTGTTTCATGGCCATCAGAGACTGCTTAATGTTCCATGGCCCTTTTTAACGGACAAAAAACGAAGGTAAAAGTCTTTCAAGCGTAGACACTAACGACACCGAGGACAGCAACGTGTCAGTATTTAGCCACCAGACCCAGGAGGAGCTTGCCTCTTTAAAAGAAAGCGGTGCTAAGCTCAGAGTAAAGTGACAGCAAGTGGCTGATAAAGTCCAATCGGCGACGAATGATATTACAGAGATGCTTCAATTAATCAATAATAAGTACAGCAACACAGCGAACGCTGTTAAGAATGGGCTCAAAGCTGCGCTTAAAAACCTCCAAGAGGCAGAGCTGCTAAGAAAAGGATTTCCTTATGAAGAAGAAGTGTATGCAAGCACTTGAAAGTTGTTATTTGAATCCCGGCAGTGGAGGGAACAAAGGCAAGATAATTTTCAACGGCATGTACAGAAAAGAACCCTGAACACTGCCCTAAAGGAAATAAAACAAAGTTAAAGAAATAGAAACTCATCGGACAGCCCTGAGAAACACCAGCAAACCATGCCTTCAAATAAAAAGAAAACAGGCAGTGGCAAACAAGAAGAAGTTATCCTGAATGAAGAAACAAGCCAGAAGAAATAAGTGGATGCGACAACAACAGTAGTAGTGAAGATGGCCGGAGGGCAGACCTTTGCAAAGGTGCTGAGGACGATGAAGGCGAACTTTGACCCTGATAAGGCTAATGTGGCAATCCAAAGTATTATCACTACAAAAAAAGGAGACATGTTTATTAAGGCCGAAGGTGAAGATAATTCTATTGCATTCTTACAGCAAATTTAGAAGTCGGTAGCCAAACAGGGTTCTGTCAAAATGAACAACAAAAAAGTGACATTAGAGGTCCGAGACCTATAGTCTATTGTAGAAAAGGATGAGGTCAAAAAGGTTTTCGCTAGGACTTTTGAACTGAAGAGCCAGGAGCCAGAAGTAGTTCTCTTGAAGCCAAATGTCAGAGGACAGAGGCTGGCGTTGATAAAGGGGGACGAAGCAACTGCCAGACAAGTAGAAGAGGAAGGCAAGTTACGAGTTGGCTTTGTAAGCTGCCAAATTCGAAGAAGAATCAAAGTAACAAGATGTTACAAATGCCTGGGATATGGACACGTCTCAGGCATCTGTAAAGAAAAAAACAGATCAAAGCTTTGCTTTCGGTGTGGAAGCTCAAACCACCGGAAAAAAGAGTGTCCACGCCAAGTACGGTGCTTCCTTTGCCCAACGACAGACAACAAGCAAAAAGCAGGCAGTGGGAGCTACCCTTTATTAAAAAAAGCGCTAGAAGAGGCCAGGAGTAAGGTCCAAGCAGGACGAAAATGAGGCGAAAAGGCCTTGAGTTGGAAGGCAGGCTAATGTGGACCCAGACTGCGATGGGATGCTATCAGCAAGGAAAAGCATCAAGCTTATAGTGGTGCTTGCTAGGTAAGCGGACTACTATGGAGCGCTAGACAGGGTGCTGGACCTAAGGGACCCTTAGTCTTTTTCAGGACTCCAGAGAATCAGCACCTCTAGCAAATGGTGGCGAGTTAGCTCGTTAATGCTGTGAGACGCATTTGTCTTTCTGGTGGCTCCACCCTGAAGTAATGCTAAGGCGGTTTCAAATTGGATTAAAAGCCACGCGGCATAGGGGGGGTTTTAGTGCGTGTGGGTGGTTTAATAAAAAAAATCCACCAAGTACCACACTACCGATGTCTCTGTGGTGTGCCTTAATGCATTTCCCCTCCCTCCATAAAAAAAAACAAAAAAAAAAAACTACTTCTACTGCTACTACCACTACTACTACCATTACTACTACTTCTACTACTGCCTTCACTACTACTACTACTACTGCTACTTTCTAGCAGGGGTTTTGGTAGTTTCTCCGTACCGGGCGCTTTCCCAGGTGGTGGATGGGGGCATCCTCTAGGGATCTGAGGTGCCGACGGGCAGATGGGGCTGCTATTTTCGGTGGTGGTGGGGAGCGTTGAACAGTGAGAGTGGGCGGCGTTGTCGTATGTGTCTCTATCTTTGTGGATGTGAGCCTTGTGCTTTCTATCTTTATTGATGTAGATGCGTGAGCCGGCACTGCTGAATTTTTTTGCTCTTTGTTTTCTGTTGCTGCCATAGCTGACGCCAGAATCCTTGATGCAGATAAAAAAAAAGCACCCCGTCGTGTATAGAAGTAAGTAGTGGTTATAACATTTTTCTCAGATATAATGCATCACACTCTTACTACACTAGCACAGGTATATTCACTAGTTGTTTTGGTTTGCGTGTGGTGGGGTCTTTCTTTTGCTGGCGTGGAGGGCCTGGCAGCAAGTGAAACCAGACAATAAGGCCTACGTTAGTCTGGGTAACCACATCTTATATGGCTGCACGCCTCATAAACAAAAAAAAGTGGTGGGCCTAGTAATCTAGGCTTACTACCACTGAGAAGGCTACATGGTAGCACTATAAGTGCCTTTATACGCCAGCTCGTTTTGTTGGTTTGTCTGTGGCAGTCATGGGATTGTATGCCTGCCGCCCGTTTTGCGGGGATGGCTGCAGTGTACCAACGTATACATACCCTACACACAATCACCACTTTCACGCTCTCTACACAACCCCAGGGCAATCTCCGCTGGTGGGACTGAGGAAGAGTGGCGACTCCTGGCTGCTCTGAGCAAGTACCACCTATCTTTGGCAATAAAGTGGGCTGCTGCGCTGGTCTTGACCCTTCCTAGATGTTTATTTTCGGAAAAAAGGGGAGTGTTGACTTTTGCTATGGATTCTGGGGGGGGGGGGCATACACGTGTTTTATGGCTAACTGGCACTGTTAAATGTGCCATGGCCTTTTGTTTTAGATAAAAGATGAAGAGAAAGCTTTTTAAGCACAGACAGTAACGTCAGCGAGGACAGCAACGTGACAGTTCTTAGCAACCAGACCCAGGAAGAGCTCGAGTCGATGGAAAACTACGGTGCAGAGCTAAAAGTAAAGTGAAACGAAAAAATTGAGCAAGTTTATATTGCAATAAGTGACCTTAACAAAATGCTTGAAACTATGAGCCAGAAGTATGGAAATACTGCTAATGCTTTAAAAATGGCATTGAAGCTGCCCAAAGACTCCTTAAAAGTGCTTAGAAGACAAGATAGGATGTCTTCTTTATAGAAAAGAGATTTTTAAATAGGTGAAAAGAGCACTTTTAATCTCTTTAATACAGGAAACAGTGTTAAGATAATTTTGGATGACATGTTCTGAAAAAAACCCTTAACACTGTCCTTAAGGAAGTAGAGAGAGTTTAAATAAACAGTAGCTTATCAGATAGCTCTGAAAAATACCAACAAGCCATGTCCTCCAAAAAAAAAGAAAAAAAACACATAGGGGTTGACATGAAAAAGTCTTCCTGAAACACAAAAAAGGCCGAAAAAAAAGTAGATACAGCGACAACAGTACTTGTAAAGATGGCCGAAGGGCAGACCTTTGCTAGTGCGCTTAAGTCAATGAAGACAATCTTTGACCCTGATAAGACCCATGCCGCAGTCAAAAGTGTTGTTAGCACAAAAAAAGAAGACATACTTATGAAAACCAAAGGTGTTGAGGATGCGATTGCATTCTTATAGCAAATTAAAAAATAGGTAGCTGGATAAGGAACTGGCAAAACGAACACGAAAAAAGTGATACTAGAGGTCTAAGACCTAGACGCTATAGTTAAGAAAAAAGAGGTTAAAGAGGCTTTCGTCAAGATTTTTGGACTTGATAGCTGGGAGCCTAAACTAGCCCTCTTAGGACAATATTTTAGAGGACAGAGGCTGGAGTTGGTAGCGGGAGACAAAGCAACTGCTAGACAAGTAGAGAATAAAGGCAGGTTACGAGTTGGCTTTGTAAGCTGCCAAATTCGAAGAAGAATTGAANTGTATATTTATAAAAAATATTTTTAAACTTTTGTATACTTTAAAATAGCATTCCGAGTTAAACCATGTGTTGTTTAAAAATGAGCTGGGTATAACTCAAATGCTGCGAGATAATTGTTCTGAAAATTGTGAAAAAGTTTGGCAAGTAGTAGCATATCAGTCTCCAAGTAAAAATTTGAATATTACCTAAGTGTTTGAATGTTTAAAGTATTACAAATACTTTTAGCATACTTATAATTTTTATCAGTTATATAAAATTCGTAGAAGCTACTATAAAAATCTTCTTTTGTTTGTTGCTTTTTTTCTAATTCTTTAAAAAAAGATACATAATCATACGGAAATTTGCCTTTCCTTATGAATTAATCTATTTGATTCATATCACAGTTATTACCATTAAAGAATAATATTTCAATTTTCTTCAATTCAACTAAATATGATGACAGTTTGTTGAGAGATAAAGCCACAAATTTTAAGGAATTTATAAATTGTAGATTAATATCAGTTCCTTTAACATATTTTGTAAAGGAAATGTACGTTTCTGTTGTCCGTAGTAAGAATTCAGTTTTTCCTGTGAAGATTATAAAATATTTTTTCGTAAACGAATGACAATTAGAACCACCTTAGTTATAAAAAATTATAGGTATTATTCGAGATGTATAAAAGTTTATACTATGTTTGTTAAGCGCAGGACCAACAAAGCTGCAATAATGAGAAATTTTTTTGTTTGGCTAATAAAATAATAACAATTATTATGTTTTCATAAATATGCTTTCTTTCTAGTCAGATAAAATTATCTCTTACTTGATATTGATAAAATTGTAGGGATGCTTACATATATTAGATAAAAAAGTTTAAGCATACATAGCTTTCTCTAATGTTGTTATTTTTATCCTGTTGATAGGACTTTTATACAATTCTTATACTTTTGTAGCAAGAAGTTAAAGAATATTGTCAAACCTTTAAGTAGGTGTTTTATCGTTACTTTCCATATTTTGCTTATAACTTTCATTCTGTGATTTCCAACCATCATAACTGCATTTAATAAATATCTCATACTATGCTACATAATCTTAATATGCACGTTTATTTTTAACACATTCCAAAGAACATTCAAAGTTCGCAGACACAAGGAAAAGTTCTTAGTTTTTGTCTGTAAAATTTTAAAATTTACGTATGGGCTCATTTTTACAGTTTTAAGAAAAAACAATTTTGCAATCATTCAGATTTTTGCAATCTTCTTCATGTACTTTTATCTTTAGACCAAAAGTAGTAAAGGCCTCAGTAACATGTGTTTGCGACATGCTGGTGTTCGAACAACCATCTGCGTATTGAACGTGACAAATTTTTAATCTGAATATAATCATCTTGATACACTGTATTAAAACCATTATCCACACTGATTTAGTTATCGTTTTCCTCATAAATAATATACAAAATTTTACCAAGGAAACAGCAAGCATAATTGTTATCGTTTTCTTATAAATAAAGAGAATAAATATTATAAGTATTAACGTTCTTTTTACAAAATATAAGCTAACCGAAACATTATTTTATTATCCAAATATAGCAATTTTTTTAAGGGTCAACAGGGAATCTGATATCATTAAAATTAAACTTGCTCTCATATTCTCTATAATTTGACGTATTATCCGCATTTTTATTAACCAAACGATTATAGCCTATTTAAAGCATCAGTTATCAATGTTCATGATATTCACACAACCTTTTCTTATGTAGTCTGGTAAGTTAATAGGCGAGCTAACTAACATACGATTTAATTTACCAATGTTGACGACTAAATTTTGTATTGAATGTAAAAACCAACCAGAACTGGAATCTCTTAATTAACCATACTTTGCTCAATTATTTGTTGCACATTCATATAAAACCAATCGTCTGAATCACTTGTTTGATAAGTGGATTGTGACTTAGCGTTAGAGAATTTTATATCTTTATTTTTCATGTTATCTTTAAGTGTAACATATTCAGAAGAGAACACGGTGTTAACTTTTAGTGCTTTATGTTTGCTAAGAGATTATTGTATTTGGTTAAAAACTGATTCTTTGCGTCTTTCAAAAATATTCCCCATTTTAAACGTTTACAGGTAAAAACAAATGCAGTCATGATTCGTCTTCCGAAAGCACTATTAACATCTTTACGACATGCGGTTTTATAACTCTCAGCAACTAAAAGTGTTGTTGACGGTAATACCGCTGCAGTGGATAACCCTGAGGCTATACTTCAACCTTAAACGTATTTTGTGGAGTTATTCTCAAATTTGCTAGTTGATGCGATTTCTGTATTATTTTTCGGTACAAAGACTTTAGGATTACTTTGTAATATTGTGGTGGCTGGTTCATTTTCATGTTATTTATATAAAACAAAAAATTTAGACTTATTAGTAACTAGTTTTGCTGCTTCCACTATTTTTAAGAAATCGTGAAGTAGCTGTATAAAACTTTTCAGTAAATCAACAGCTGATTAAAAACTTTTCCGTTTTATATGTTGTTAAATAACTTTTTGACGAAAAAAAAAAAAAAAAACACTATCCTCGAAAGCCTAAAGAATTGTATGTAATAAAGTTTGAGTATGGAAAACATCATATCTATAAGTAGTTTGTTGATATGTTACCTATAGGCGCTATGCCGCATCATTAAAATGTTGTGCAGAAGTCATAGCTAACTTATAACTGCAAGTTTACTTGCTTTAAGATTTTATGAAAATAAGCTGTTGAAGCAGATCCCATCTTTTTAGAATATAAATTTTAGAAAATCATTGGGATATTTGGGGCAGGGGAAGAAGAACGTAATACACAGTTGTTTTATACAAAAAGTTTTTCTCGTCACATAATTTGAGAGTCAAAGTGTATTATCTTAAATTTTATTTTACAATTTAAAACATTATACTTACACTAGCTCAATTAAAAGGATTAATACTATGACGACTGTCACTACTGTTACTTCTAAAACAACTACTGTCACTACTACTACTACTACTTCTACTACTACTACTTCTACTACTACGACTACTCCCGGGTGGGGTTTTCGCTAGTTTCTCCATACCGGGCGCTTCCCCGGGTGGCGGATAGGGGCATCCTCTTAAAATAAGAGGTGACGATGGGCAGCTGGGGTGGCTGAGGAGGTTACGGTGGCGATGAAGGGTCGTCTCGACGGGGCTGCTCTACCAGAGATGGTCGTGCGGCTTTCGTCGAGAACGACCAGAGGAAACAGGGTCGCCTATATTGAGGCCCCTGCGTCTGCAGCGGCGGTCCTCGATAAAATGGACCACCTGCGGCTTGGCTGGGTCAACTGCAGGGTTCGGCCCAGGACTAGGGCCGAGCGTTGCTACAGGTGCCTTGGGTTCGGCCACATCTCTCACCAGTGTGGCGGGTCTGACAGAGCCAGGGCATGCTTCAAATGTGGCAAAAAGGGTCACGTAGCAAGGAGCTGCTCGCAAAAAGAAGCGAGCTGCTACCTGTGCGAGAACGTGAACCCGAGGCCGGATAACAGACATGTCGCTGGGTCTGCCAGATGTGGAGCCCTACGAGCGGCTGTAGGAATAGCTTCGAGGAAATGGCGCTGATCCTGCAGGTGAATCTAAATAGGACCGTGCTCGCGCACGATTTGCTGGACCAGTTCTCCCGTGCCCGAGGTGTGGATATGATCTTCATAAGTAAGCCATCCCGCACGCTACCGGGCCGGGGCTGGTACTGCGACAGGACAAAATGCGCAGCCATCCTGATTCGCAGCGAGAAGTTCTCCGTATCCGACACTGGAGGTGGAGACGGGTTCGTGTGGATCAGGTGTGGGAGTGCTTTCTATGTGAGTTGCTACATATCCCCTAACATTTCGATTGGTGTATTTAGAGATCGGCTTGCCGAACTCGAGCATACCGTTCGAGTGTGCAGGGAAAGTGGTGATGTAGTCCTGGCCGGCGACTTTAACTCCAAGGCCATCGCTTGGTGGGAGCCGAGAATCGACCCCAGAGGACGGGCGGTGTTAGAGATGGCTGCAAGGCTGGATCTCATCGTCATGAACTCTGGTGGTTCAGCAACGTTCAGGCGACCTGGCAACCGGGGAACGATCATTGACCTCACGCTGGTGTCGTCAGAAATGGCGGCACGGGTCTCCGAATGGCAAGTCCTGGAGGACTACACGGCCAGTTATCACCAGTACGTCAGCTTCGTGATACACGAGGATCGTGGTGCA